AAAAAAAAGAACTCACCAACTCACGACAACTCTTCGTTCTCTATAGTAAATGATGAATAGGGAAAAAACCCAGATAGAATTCTAAGTATATATGAAAAGAGAAATAACAAAATAAGATGTCATTTTTTTCTCTTCTTATAGTTGTTAACATTTCATCTCTCTTGTCATTTTCAACAAATCTATGTCGTCTAACTCCCGGCACCTCTATCTATTTGACTGTGACGGCGGTCGTAGTAGTCTCTTTGATGAATTCAAAAAAGACCAAATTTCAGACAATGAGGTATTCTACTTATTTTGGAATGATTACGATATAGTGGTTACTGAGAAGCTACAACAACTGGAGACAGTTAATATTCATTTAAGGAAGAGTCATAAAAAAAACGTCAAAAATTCAGCAGATGGAAAATTGATTTATTTTCTTGGTAAACTAGCAAGTGAATTTGACAAAATCACCATTATTGGAGGTGGTGATTGTATCTACGAAGAGGTCATTGAAGCTGTGAAGTCTGATTATGCCAGTAAGACGATTAAATTGAAAAATATCCCATGTCCAGACAGCTCAAAATTAAATGCAATATTGAGTAGTCGATCAAGTGATGGTAATAAAAATTTGGTAGGCGATCAGTTGCTCTTGCACAATGGACGCCCTTATATCATGCGTACTATTCGTATCAATTCAAATAAAAAAATTCCTTGTCTCGAATGCCCTGGTCGTACAAGAAGTTATTGCTCGGTTGGACTCCGTCAGCATCTATTAGAAGCACAAAAACATTCTAAAAATATGATAGAAGTGTCACAACGTTGTTCAATTAGTCGAAAAAAAGAAATATCCTGTCCAACAGCAAATATCAAATTGATTCATTGGTCCCTAAAGAAGGATTATTTCAAACCTCAGAACAAGCTGAAAAATGCCCGTTATGTCCACCTGCATCAAAGCAAAAATACAGAGCAATTAGATTATATAAACATCTGAATGAAAAGCATCAGATATGCAAGAATATCAAAATCAGGGTTGCCAAATGAATCGCTACAGTCAACGTGAAACAACCAGGGAAATCAGGAGATGGCGTTAACTGTGGCGCCCCCATTTGGCAACCCTGATCAAAATTCAATGCTGCAGTGAGCAGATCACTTAGACGATGTAGATGAATTTCATCGACATGTGCTCAATGATCCATTCGATATAACGTTTAAAAAATATATTTAGATCGCTCTAATATTTTTGTAAAGATATTGAAGCTTTTATTCTATAACAAATTATTATTATTTCAATAAAACATGTCAAATTAATCAAACCATAGGATGAAAAGCTGGAATCGATTTGCTTAAAAAATTAAGTTCCTTCTTTTTTTAATAGTTAAATTGAGTCAAATCGTTACGATTTATTCTAACTATTCGCAATTGGTCTAAAACTTTACATTATTTAGATCCTACAGATTGTTGTCGATGAAAGTAAATATAGAATAATCTCTTTGACAACATTGCAGTCTCACACATAAACATCATCCACATACGGTTGATAAAGTCGTTGGTGAACACGTAGATCGATATTATATATTTAAGACGATTATTACCGCTTCATCCTCTGTTTAATGTTGTCATTTCATTTTTTCCAAATCTACTTTTTCCATATGTCTTCTGCAACCATCTGTCGCAAAAAATACTGAAAAGAACAGAACTGCCATTTTCTCCTCAATAAATTCAGCGAAGAGAATGTTGCAAGAACGGGTAAAAACCATAACGTATATCTTATGTTAATATTGAAATAACAAACGATATATTAAAAAATACTAATGCTGGCATCGGCAGTTTATTTTTATTTTACTAATTGCGAAGACTTGAATGAAAACCGGTAAACATTGTTTTTTTTCAGATTTCGTCGAACTTTGTATATGACTCGAGTCTATCAAAAGCTAAACGTTGTCTATTTGTGGAAAGAAAAAGAGACAAAACAATTCGATATCTGATAGATTGATATTATAATTATTTTCAATTTTTTTTCTGCTCATATTTACAAAAGATAAAAATAGGAAGAAAGATCGTCGAGAGAATCGATATCAACATGGTTATTAACAGAGCACTTTCCATTTTTTATTCTTGTAGCTGAACATAAGCAGGATGATGTTACGTCTACAGTCATATCGACAACTATCGAACAAGGCATGGACTGAGATACAAATGTACAATATGGAACGTTGTTATCTATGTCCATCTATGTATTCATGTGCATTGTGTCGTATAGATCTTTTAAAAAACTCAGGTATCTATCCTAAACTTCTCCTGTTTTTAAATCTCTATAGATTATACAAGATATTTGCATGTCAACATTACCATCAAAGTTGGAATGCTGTTAAGTTCATTCTTAGTCGAAGCCCATTCCATATCCTCATCTTCATTGTAAGTAAACATTTTCCTTGATGCAAACTAATTGTAATCCTATAGTGAGTGACATAAAATATTAAAATCTTTTTAAAGGCTAGTAATTAGAATATATTTATTTTTTCTTAAAGTTAATGTGCTAGATTAAATGAGAGAAAAGCAAAATAATGTCTATTCAGTACAAGGTAAGTTTAATCGAACTCTGACGGTATTCGTTTCAGGATCAACAAAAACCAGATCATCTCTTCCATCTCGATTGAAATCATTTACTTTGATTGATTGAGCACATTGACCATTGCTCTCTTCATTGGTTCCAAATAAAATATCAGTTTGATCAAAAAGTCCAAGTTTAGTTCCGAGAAAGACCGCTACAGTTCCATTGCAATGTAATACTACTAAATCATCGATCGAGTCATTATTAAAATTGATTCGTGCAACAGATGTTGGATGAGTGTTGGTTAGATAGATTTGCTGACTAAATTTTCCAATTTTGACAGCAAGCAAGATCTGCAATGTATCAGATTCAGGGGAAACAAGAGCTAAATCATCGAAATTATCATCATTAAACTTTCCTCTGATTAATGATAATGGATTAGCAAATACAGTGTTATATGCCACTCGTGGATCATACTCAATTTGAGTATAATTGATAGAAGAGATTGTCACCACTTGATTGTTGCTACCACATAAACTGAGATCATTGTATTTTCCATCATAATCGAAATCACCAATGACTACTGAAATCACAAAAATTGTACTGGCCATCCAATCTACACATAGAGTACCGCAGACAGAATCGAATCGTTGACCATTATCTCGATTTAAATAGATTCCTAATGGCAATCGTGAAGTTAAGGAATCGTGATTAGGGACGACCAAATCAAAAGATCCATCCCCGTCAAGATCAGCAGTTTCAATCTCAGTTGATTTAGTAGCAGAAAAACCGTATGAAAATGCGTATGATACTGAAGAGAATGAAACATTCGTTGGTATACCAAAGAAAATAGCTATTTGGTTTACTGTCCATAATGTAATAGCTAAAAGAGAATGAAGTTTAAATGAAGCTATCCGAAAAATTTTTAGAACAAACATTGTAATTAGGATATTTTCAGCTATTTTTTAAGGAGTGATCAACTACCTGGCATATCAAATATCTAGAAAGTTTTTCAGTAGTTTGTGATTATTATTGCAATCTATGTAACTGTTTATCGATTAATCTCTGTAGGTACATCGTTATTCTAATTAACTAATTTTTCAGTATGATTCGACTGCTTATGCTAACAAATGAATGAAACTGATCTTTGTAATCTTCAAATAACTCTCAGTTACCGATATTTTACCAAGATAAATTTTTCCACACTTACCAAAGTCCAAAAATGTATCATTATTAAAATCAGCAGTTGCTATTCCCGTTGGACAAGTTCTATTCCCCGTTGAATACATTTTTTGTGACTGAAACGTTCCATTTCCAATGCCTAACATTACGCTGAATGAATCACTGCCACAATTTGTTACGGCTAAATCTAAAATGAAATCTTTATTAAAATCGCCTGTAATGACCTGTTTAGGATCATCGCCAGTCGCATATGTTTGAAATTGATTTTTCAAGTTCATATAGCAAACATCTAAAAATAAAAGAAGAGTTAGTGGATTGTACAGTATCTTTAAATATACCAGTTATTGTTGATGTTGATTCTAATGTAGAGCTAATGGTTGTTGTCGTGGTTCTCTTAGTTGAAACGATCGATTGATATTCTGAATATCTCTTCAAAACCCAAACGATCGAAACTATTATTACCATAGTCACAAGCAATAAACTAACACCAACTACATATGCACGTTCTTTCTGCTTTTTATATCTTAAAAAATATATAATAAATATCACAAATTCAAGATTTTTGTTTATGAATATTTTTCGTACTTACTCATCGGTTTCTTCATTCGTGGAAGAAACAGGAATCTTAAAAACAAAACAGAATAGAATGAATATATTGTACATGATAGTAACCTGATTGATGTCTGCAACAGTAGTCATTTCGATATTGTTATTATCTTGATCAATGACAATAATACTTGATTGTTGTATGTCTGTTGTTACTTGCCGTTTTTTCTTCCGATAATCCAAGATCTTAATAATTATCCATGCTCCACCAGATACAACAATATGTAGTCCTTTGGTTAAACCACCAAAAACAGCGATTAGAGTTGTTATTATATAAATTTGATTAAAGTTCGTTGAATAAGAATAATGACATTGTTGAGGAGCACAGGCATTAAAATATGATTCATATGATGCTTGATGGACCCATTGTAAAACAAAAAGTTGACCAAGAAGTGTTTCAATTGTTATGTTTAGTTCAGACGATGTCTTGTAAGTAAATAGTTGAACTGGAATAGGTCTAGAATAGTAGATAGCTGTACGCATCAACTCCAAACATGTTTTATTGTAGAGACAAGAAAAACTTGATTGAAGAAGGGCATCGAGAATTAGACAACCAAAGCGAAAACCTGGAAGAGTTTCTTTCAATGATTGAGTCGACGTCCGAAAATCAAAATTGGACAGATACGAACAGTTTGAATGTACAGCGCATGAACAATTATCTTCTTCATACGTGTTTGATAGAGTTAGTACATCTAATGAAGGCGAACCTATACTTATTTCATCAGATGAAAAGTCTACATCTCTCAAAATGAATTTCCAATTGGATGAAAGTACTGATACTAATTGATTTCCATGATTGACTGCTTGAATCAATTTAATTATTTGCATAAACTGATGACCTCTTGTGGTCTCAAATTGTTTTAATAATGCTTCTGTAGAAACTTTAAATTCATCACGTGGAATAACATGTCGTGTAAAATAATCTGTTTCTTGAAATGCATATAATGCAACAGTTAATGTCTTTTTTGAAAGTGAACAAAGCTTTGATATTATTTCAAATTGTACACCAATTATTTTACGGAAATCTGAACTATCACCGACACGACTCATGTCCGTTCCTTTCAAAGTTTCAAACCATTTTGATGTAACGAAAGTACTTGTACATATTTGGTGATATTGAGGTTCAATTTGAGAAATAAATTTGTCATATTTGATTGCAATATGATTACAGGGACATTTTAATGTTCGAGGATATTGAGAAAGTAATTCTTCATATTGCGACACTGATGGAGATTTGATCACAACGGTAATTGTATCGTATTGTAGTGATGTATATAGAACAAGAATAAACAATGCTATAATAAGAAAACATAAATAGAATCGAGTTTTACGTCGACTTCGACGAATTATTATTGGATTTTCTGATTGTGGAATAGTCGGAAATAGATCCAATTCGAAAAATTGTCGTCTGATTAATCGAAATTGACGACAGAGTTCTAAAAGGAAAGTAATATGATTAAAAAAAACGTTCTTTCAAATGTTGAAATCCTATATCTTACTTAATCGTACAGACATATTCTCTGTCACATCGTCACTCGTTACATTTCGTTGTCGACGTAAGATTTTCATCCAAATATAATAGATAAATTTAATAATAATTGGTGTTAGTAGACGTAAGACGATATTGAGACCACCTATCGATCCAACAATTGTTGTTATCATATAAATATGATAGAATCTCTTCTGATACGTATATTGACAGGTGCGTGGATGACATTCATCAAAATAAGACTGGTAAGAACTTTCATTATTCCACGATCGAATAAATAAATCATTTGCCAAGGATTCGATCAAATCAAATTGTTTGCTCATAGAAGGTAATGATGGCAATTCGAGTGGAGTAAAATTAGTTCGTGATACATTTGAATTAATAAATCGTATGATGTTATGAAGACATTTTTCATCGTAAAAACATTCTAATGTTGAATTGAAAAGCGACTGAAGAGGAAACCATGTTTGAATCGTGCCTGGAATGGGAATATGTTCCATTTGATCGTCAATAATTACTGTCGATAGATAACATTCATTAGTAGAAAAAGGATAACACTTACATTCCTGCTTTTGTAGAAAAATATTATCACATCCAGGTTTTTCCTTCCAATTATAGGAACGCATATTTAAATATAGATTTGGTTCTGTTTCACCAGAATACGCAAAAAAAACTGTATTTCTTGGCGTAATGAACTGATTGATTTCTAAGTTTGCTTTTATTAATTGAACTGTCTGTTGAAAAGTTTCTGGCATTGTTCTTTTAAATTGTTTCACAATTAAATCAATTTGAATCCGAAATGATTCTTGACTAAGAACGTCATTGGTAACAAGTTCAGTGATAAAAAACGATTGTAGACTTTCTTCAATGGTTTGGTTGGCCATACGGCAAAGTGTAGAAAGAAGTTGAAAATGATATTCTGCTTGCGAACGAAAATCATGAGTAAATAATTTTGATGAAGAAGATTCGTTATATTCAAGGTTAATCCAATCCGCAGAAACGAAATCACTCAAGCAAATTTCATGATATATTGGTTTGATAGACGAAATGAATTGACGATATTTTATGGTAGTTTGTTCGCATGGACACCGAAGTGTATCTGAATGTTTAGCATAAAGCTGTATGAAATCTGTAAATGATGGTGATGGAACGGTAACACTGATCGATTGTGGTGTAATCGAAGTAAAAAGAATAAGAATTGTTAAAGCTAAAAAGAAAAGAATTAGATAGAGTCGTGTCGTATGACGTTCTTGTTGAAGAATATTTTCATCTTGTGATGGAGGAATTTTTTGGAATAAATTTAATTCCTGGAGTGATTTTTTTAGCTGTGGTAATAATCCCATTGGAGAATTACCAGAAGAAGATGCTAGAATAAAAAGACAAAGTGCATAGGAAATCTATGAGATTTCAAAGACATTTACTTGCATAAGGCTCAGCTGATGCGGATTGTGTCACATGTGTTCGTAGTCGAATAAACAATTTTAATATAAATGGCCAGATTTGTCTCACAATGAGCGGAGAAATTATCATTAATGCTGAGGATAATCCACCAAACAATCCAATTAATAATGTTAAAATATTTAACAAACTATAGTGCTCCATCAAGCTATATTGACACGAATCAGGCAAACAATTATTAAAATATTGTTCATACGATGTTGTGTTAATCCATTGAATCACAAATAATTGACTTAATAATGTCTCGACTGTCGAATTTGACATTGATGAGTTGAGTGGTTCAAAATTAGCTGATGAATTACTAATCATATTAATCCATGTTTGATTATATAATGGTTGAAGTGTAGATTTGAGTAGTGCACTTAACATATAGCAACCTATTTGAAAACCTGAAACAATATCATTATAAACTGTTGTAGGACCCATACAATTAGTAGCAGTTGAACTTGAACAAGTACAAGTAGAACCATTCAAAAATGTATACGTTAATCCAGAATAAGGAATAATATCGTCGCCGAATGTTGTTTGGAGTATGTTTGGTAGAACGCTGGATACTGATGCTCCAGTCATTAATAAATTCTGTGCGGTCATATCTTGAATCAAATTTAGTGTTCTCAAGAATATTTTGGGTGTTGAATCAATGAATTCTCCGATAAATGAATTCAATTGAGCTTGAAATTGTTCTTCGAAAACTAATTTTGATTGAACAAATTCCCGTTGTTGGAATAATTCGAGACTGTTAGAAACGGTTTCCTTTGCTAGTTGACAAAAGGAACGTAATGTTTTAAATTGAAAAAAGGCTATTCGACGAAAATCAGTTAACTCTGAATTATTCCAACTTTGTTCATAGAGAATCTGTAAATAATCAATCCAGTCATTAAAGACAAATTTACTTTGACAGAATTCATCATAGATAGGTTCAATGGAAAGAAATTCGTTATACTTGATACCTATTGTAGAACAATCGCATTCTAACGATGTATATGAGAGTAAAGTACGGTATCGAGACAATGTTGGAGACTTAATAATGATTGTTTGAGTATAAGATGCGGTAGAATAATAAAAGGCCAAAATACTAATGGATATTATAAGGAGAAGTAAATACAATCGAGTTGATCGACGTTCATTTTTGATAACATGTTCATCTTCTATACCTGTCTGCATCAGATTTAATTCAAGTAAATAAGATTTGAGAAACGTGAACAGTGCACGACAATAAACTAAGATCGACATTTTATTGATCTAGAAAATATGATAAAAAGACTTGTAAAATGTTAGAGTGTCTCTGCAGCGTTAGGAAACTATGCTAGAAATTCTGTTGATTTTCTTATCAAATATCATTATCTCTAGTTGTTTTTCGTCTACATTTTCAGTCTGTTATTGCTATTTGCATTGTGGTTGTTGGTAGGAGTCAGTTTTGTCACTATTGATCAATTGAGACAAGATCTAAAAGTCTATTGTGATATGAAGAACTGACAGATTATCGTGCATAGTATGTGCCGTCTTTTCAGCGATCTTACTTTGCAAGACTATTCACCGAACGACCAGATAACTGGGAATATTTAGAATAAGTTCTAATATTAATAGTCAGATGAAATGGAGAGGAGGAGTGATTTAAATAACTAGATAACTGAAATTCAAGTCAAAGTTATATTAAAAAAAACA